AGAGATAGTACTGTAAATATGAAAGATTTGTTATAAATCAACAATTGTAAATCACTAAGGTAGTCTGAACTTTCTTCATTAAAGAGGGCCATATGCTCCAAGACTAATGTAATGCCTATGGTTTTTCCTTCGAGATGCTACTGCAACGGTTTGAGAAAGAATGACATCAAATTAAAAATAGAATTCCAATACGCATTGTCTAGGAGTTCAGAAATGTTGCCATCTTGATAAACACAATGCTAAAACCGTGTGTGCAAATAAATGAAGAAATGAATGAATGAAAGGGGGAATGAATGAATGAATTAATTTATTAATTATTATTAATTAATGCATTTCTTTCCGAAATGCTACCAAACTTAACAACAAAATACAATTCATTAAAATACAGAGGGTTTAGTTAAAGGTAGATGGACACAGATTTGAAGTTATCAATTTCTCTATAATATTACGACTTATATATTTTAATAGCATTTCACACAAAAATTAATTAATAATCTTTTTTCATATAACAGATATTAATATTTCAAATATTTTGGCGGGTTTGATTTGATTGACACATCCTTGCACTTTTACAAATTAATTTTATTCTTAATCCTTAGTAAAAGTGGCAATCTCGTTGTGTATAAATGAAAAAATATTAATACTATAATGCAGTAGACATGTTCGAAAGCAAAACAAACACACAATATATTGTCAGTCCGTGCAGTTGTGGTAAGCAGACTGTGACGATGTAGAACGCACCCGGTGAATTGAAAATATAAACAAAAACAGAACTCATGCCCTGTTTACAAAAACTGTGTACATAACACGAGTGTGCTCGATTTGCTAAACTCTGTACGCAACTCTTAGTTCGGAATGACGATACTTGTGAAGGAGTTTTGCTTTCTAACATCTCTACTCTGAATAAAATTATTTTTCTTGATGAAATTTTTTATATTTCTCATTAATACACAACAAGATTGCCACTTTTCCTAAGGATTATGAATAAAGTTAAAATTTGTGAGGGTACAAGGATGTGTGAATCAAACCCGCCTAAAAATTTAAAGTTTTAATAACTTTTAAATGAAATAAGATTTTTAATTAATTTTTGTGTGAAATGCTATTAAAATATATAAGTCGTAATATTATAGAGAAAATATTGACTTCAAATCTGTGTCCAAGTACCTTTAAGGCTCTTAAAATTTTTTACTAAGTTTACGTTTTCATTAAACTTTAAAATTATTAAGATGGGAATTTCTCACTCTCACGAAAAAAAAAATTAAACTACTTTTCTTGGCCAAAATAAATACCAAGGGACGAGAGGGGAATCCAGGATAGGCAGGGACAACGACAGGGAGTGAACAGGGAGATTTAGAATGTCAGAAGAAGACAAGGAGTAGACAGGATGGACAAGAGAACGACAGGGAGTGGACAGGGTAGTCAAGGACAATGACAGGGGATCATAGGAGAAAATCAAGGAGAGACAGGAAAATGTCAGGAACTGACAGTGGAACAACAGGGGATTTTTTTAGAATCTACGGGGATTTTTAATTCAGTAGTGTGGTTGGGGGGATATAATGATTTTATTTTGTTATTCCTTACCTCCCAAATCTAGCACCATATATCGAGTTCCAGGTTTGAATTTGTACGATTCAGTCTTTCCTTTATTGATAGACATAACTCCTATAGGAATATGATTACAATAAATGGAGGCCGGGTCCCGTGCTAAAACCAACTGATTCCTGTCAATATCAAAATGAAGGAGGTAGTGGAGAGTTTGATTTTATTCAGACTGCGTGACATGCAATTCTTTCTTTATTGTCAAAAACGGCTAGAACCTGACAATGTGACTACAATACTAACGTCAATCGCCGCTTCCATCATGAAATGTTTTGCACCTTCATCCCAAATGGCGGGAACAGTAAGTACCCAACGAATTTGGTCCTCGGTAAAGTTGTCTACTCGGGATGTCAAAGATTTCATCAGAAGAATATGGAGATAACGAACAGTATTCAATATCAAAGTCCATAAAACAATACAAAATAGGAGCAGAGCAAACACGGACCTCCGAAACGTCAGAGGTGGGATCACGTGCCATGGAGGAGTGAGCATTCCCTCCTGACAGGTCACAACCCGCCGTGTGCTCATTGTCATGATCGTGAAATAACGGAAAAAATCCGTCGTCAATTCACTGTATAAATAATGGACTAACAATTGGTATGAAAAACGGTATTTGCTGACAAGGCCATTGTATCGACCATAGAACTTACGAAGTGATGAATTTAAACGAGACGGCTGATTGTTTCATTAACTTGCTTGTCAATAATTTACCTCGTTTATGAAATTGTTCATACGTAGAGCATGCTCTTGCGTACCCCCGGGGGCCACGGTTTGAACAAATCCGAATCTACGCTACCTGAGGATGCTTCCTAATTAATATCATTGATTAATCATCATTTGGCTTTTCTATTTTTAAGATTTTCTAGATTCCTATGTAATTGATACCCAATGCTATCCCTGCGGGTCATCATTTGAACAAATCTCAATCTACACTACCAGAGGATGCTTCAATATCAATATGACTTATCATACCTTTGTTCTTCTTGAGAAGAGGATTATAAAAAAAATATTCTTATATATTCCTCTGTAAAAGCTTTGATCCACCATTGTGGAACCACGCTACCAAACTTGAATCTAAACTAAGTAAAGAGGATTTCACATAAGTTTCATTGACACAGTGGTTCTAGAAACGAAAAATACGTTTCATCAAATTTTCAATATTTCTGAATTATCTCCACTTGAATGAGGAGGTTGCCCTTCGTTTGAAGAAACTTGAATCCCTTTTAACTTAGGATGCTTAGTGGCAAGTTTGCTGGAATAATAAATAAAGAAAATAAGGCTTTTTTGTGCGCAATAAATATACACTTTATTCAAAGGGTGAAACTGAAGCTAAACTGGTCGTCCATCCCATTTTTTTTTTGGAACCAGAGAGCAACAGGTCTGCAGCTAATATAGCAGAAATAATAGCATGAAGGATAGGGAGATAACGAACAGTACTCAACATCAATGTCCATAAAATAATACAAAATAGGAGCAGAGCAATTAAACACGGACCTCCAAAACATCAGAAGTGGCGGGTTAGGTGCCTATACTAGTATTACTATATATTAACGCGACAAAGTGGAAAAATTACTAATTGTATTATTTCTACTACTACTTCAAAACTAACAAAAATTCTCTGACAGTACCAAGTAAGTTTAACAGTTTTCAGTCACGTTTAATCAGAAACCGATGTTCGATGCTTTTAGATAATTTTTCCCCCAAATCAACTGAATCCGCTTAATGATGAATTGTGATGTGTCGACTAATTTATTAGAAGGAATTTCAAAGAGACTTACAAGTGACCGACAATAAGATATAAGTATGATACTTGTGTAAAAACAAGAGATGTTTGTAAAGCACTTATGCCCCCTTCCTCAAATTGGAATTTCTCCATGTTCAAGGGGTATAACTCTGACAAAAATGGCGCGATTGTACATAAAACAGAACTTGACCTAGATATTTATCTGATAATTCTGTATACCTGATTTCATTTCAGTACTTGCAACGGTTGTGAAGAAAAAGAAGGGAAACTAAAGACAGCAGCAAAGCAATACGCCTTCCCTTCTTCGAAGGGGGCATAATAAAAATGGCACGATCGTACCTAAAACAAAACTTGACCTGCAGTATTTGGCCATAATATAATACGCAAAATGGCGGCCGTAAAAAATTTAAAAATTAAACATGCATTTTCTTTCTCTATATCTCGGTAATTTGAAAGTAACAAGTTTTGACAGTCATGTGCATCCATACATAAGCGTCATATCTGACGTCACGTAAAATGCGGGTTCCGTTCATCTATTATAGAATATGTTAGTACGCCATACAAAATAGCTCCGAAAGGTAAAGACCTGTCGACAGATAAGAAGAAGACGATCGTTTCTAAGTAAAATAGTGGGTTATGTAGCCGAAAAATTGCAGAACTTAGAATGAGCCTAAATACTGTGCAGAAGATGTTGAAAAGAAATCAAGAAAGGGGTTCAGTGAGAACAGAGGAAGATCGGGTAAGAGAAGATTGGTGAGTGAAAGGGGGGATCGTGTGTTAGAAAGATTGGTCAAAAAGAATAGGCAACAGACTTTGTCTGATTAAACCAACAGTTTATATGAATCTTTACCCCAGCAAGTTTCCAGCAGGACAGTTCGACGAAGGTTAAAAGAGCAGTGTTACCAGCGATGTTGTGTTTCCAAGAAAAATACGATTTCCAAAAATAATCGCCAAGCCCGAATTTCCTGGTGCCGGACGAAGTTAGCCTGAACAGTTGAACAAAACTGGTCACACGTTATTTTCATTGATGAAATAAAAGTTGTGTTATGCATGGACAGGAAAGTATATGTATGGAGGAAACCCGGTGAACGATTTCAGCCAGCATGTCTCAATATGTATACAGTAAGCACTCCCCCTACTCGAGTATATCAGCCATGTTTTGGGGCTGTTTGGCTTACCATGGTGTCGGAACTTTAACAGAAGTTGAGGGAAATATTAATACTGAGAAGTATATCTCTGTTTTGGATGACAATTTGTGGCCTCTTGTTGCTTAAGAATTTAGTGAAAGTCCGTGGATATTACAAGAAGATAAGTGCCCCGTGCACCAATATCGACAGTCCTTCGCTTGGAAAGAAGAAAATAATGTTCCCACCCTTACTTGGCCAAGCCAATTTCCCGATATTAACATTATAGAAAATATATGAAGAACAATCAAAGTTCGACTAGAACACCGGTTACAGGAAATAAAAATCGGCAGGACTTAATTCGAGTCGTGAAAGAAATTTGGGTGTCGATCGATTCCGAGACTATAAAAACTTATACAGGTTTATTCCAAAGAGACTTAAGGCTGTCATAAAGGCAAAGGGATATATTACGAGATATTAATTAAGTAAGACATATTTCACTTAATTATTATGAAAAAATAACGAACATAATCTCAGGTTTTAAAACATTTTATTGAAACGGAGGCCATTTTGCGTACTGTATTATGGCCAGATATTGTAGATATTCAGCTGATAAATCTGTATACCAAATTGCATTTCAATATGTGCAACCTCTGTGAAGAAAATGAACGGACACTGCAAATAAGTGGAAGTCCAATGGACATAACTCTAATAAAAATGGCGCGATCGTACATAAAACAGAACTTGACCTAGATATTCATATGATAATTCTGTATACCAAATTTCATTTCAGTACGTGCAACGGTTGTGAAGAAAATGAACGGAAACTAAATGGACTAGCAGATCGACCGACAGACAGCAAAGCAATATGCCCTCCCTTCTTCGAAGGAGGGCATAATAATAGAATGAATCGTTTATTTGTTTATTGCATTACTCTATATCAACATATAGAAAAATTACAGAAAATTGATAGAATAAATAACTTCATATTAAAAGTTATAAAAATTTTCTGACTCGGGTGTTCTTGCAATTTTCCTCATATTTAAAGCATTGAGAAAAAGCACTAAGAACTAGTGACGGCCAAAAATAAATATACCGATAGTACACTGAAAGTTTAATATAAAATCTGACTACGCGTGATAATTGTTTGGGAATTAACTTCGAAGGAAATCGTATGAGTGCCTGTATGTTTCATCAAGGCAATCATCTGTCAAAGCAATGTCGAACTGAGTACCCCCGAACTCAACTACAGCGTGGATCAAAGAATCTTCAGACCAGCCTCCATTTGGTCGTCGAAGCTTTATAGCGCCTACTTTGGTACAGTTTTTCTCAGTGGTATAAGTGGGATTTTGTGAAGTTGACTGGAAAATTCCTATTCCGCTCACGGCATCTTCTTCATTTGGTGTATACGTGTTTTCGATTTTATGACCAATGGGAACCTCCTCTCCTTTCTGCACTAATGCCTCAAAGATATGCTGACACATTGCCTGATTGTCAGTGGGTCTTTTAATTTTGTATTTACTTGGATGTAGGCCTTCGATGAAGGGTACACAGACTTCGAATCCAATAGTAAAGCGACTGATTCTTGAAGAAATAACGCTTGGCATGTGACCAAACAATACAGCGCCTTTTAAGACGGCTAGTCCAGGGTCAGCAGGGGCAATAACTTTCTTGTCTGGGAATAATTCTTTTATTGCTTTTAAAACCATAGGCGACTCGGAGAACCCGCCAACGAGGAGAATTTTAGACAGAGACTCTCCTTCAAACAAGTTTACGATTTCTGTTACGTGCTGAATTATTCCTTGTAGTGTATCTTTAAAAAAATCTTTGAAAATGTCGGGATCCACTCGCAGTTTTCCGGCCTTAAATATGACTTTCTTTGCGTATCTCGTCTGTGGCAGTGCCTCTGCCAAAGTTTCTTCTGTTTCTTCCTTAAATATCTCTAGTAGACGCAGTGGCAGCGTTATGGTTATTTTATCTTCTAAATCTGGTTTGACGGTACGCTTCTTTGTTTCAAAATCGCGAAAGAGTGAAATATAATCGTCCATGTTATCTGTCTTTAACCTTGTGAGAACATCGTTTCCAAAGAGTTTCACCAAAAATTGGTAGAAGGCGTCATCCACTTTGGTTCCACCCCACGCTCCACCGGTGGCATGGTGGACTTCGCGCAGGTCCTGATTTGACTGTACTTCGTGTACTGTTATATCCGCTGTTCCTCCTACAAAAGAAGAAATTAAATTAACAACTAGATTATAACAATCAATGGTACTAAATAAAAGTCAGTTCCGTTTAATTTTCAGAAATTCGAAAAGGCAGTCAAACGATCTGGTCCGCAACATTTCTTATTTTAGGTATTATTTTGGCTCGTTTACCTCCCAAATCCAGAACCATATATCGCGTTCCAGGTTTGAACTTGTACGATTCAGTTTTTCCTTTATTGACAGACATGACTCCTATAGGGACATGATTACAATAGATGGAGGCCGCCTCTGGCTCCAAGGCTAAAACCAAGTGCTTTCTATCAATACCAGCCTGTAAGTACACGTAAACATAGTTGACAGTGCCCAAACCCTACATGTGTTTTTATAATAATGCAGGGAACTCGTTATCTAATGTACTAAGTACATCTAATCCGTTCATATACTGCACTAAAACAAAACAAAAGCTGGTTCAGGGAATTTATTATTAACTTGCTTAATGATATATAAAAAATTTTTTTTTACCTTTCTACCTCCAGATTTGTAGATATAATTTCATACCATACATGAGTTTGTTTCTAACTTTCACATTTTGGTCTAAAAATCAATAGGGTTCTTTCTTTCTAATTTTGATAGAATCGTCGGTTACAATTAAGTTTCATTGCAAAAGCTAACAGACAACTTTTAAAAGATTATGTTATATTAGAATGAAGTATAAGTTGCCTGATAGGGTTTCTTTTCTGCTGATAAAGTCATTGTATCGAAAAACTTCAGAAATGATGGCTTCAAAAAAGACTTTTGATATTGAACCTTGTTTTCATCAACTTGTAATTACGCAAAGCTGTGTGCTCGCGAAAATTTAATTCTCACGTATAATAGTATTTTTTAGTATATAGAGTAATAATCACAATTCGTGAAAATTTTATCTTACTTATCAAGAATCAATGCCTATCTCGCAGAATTCTTATTTGTAATGATTTAATTGAGTTTTGGAATCCACTGCATAAGTACAGTGGCGCCTCATTCATCCGTGGTTCCTAGTCAATTTGTCCGGACATGTGAAGCATTCGGATATCTGAATTACCAGAATTACCAATGAAAAATCGTCCGGATACTGAAGCACCTGGATATCTTAAGGTCCGCTGTCTATGGTAATTTATTTTGATTGCTGGGAATATTAAAAATTGGCATATGGTTTTTAAACAAACATTTCTTTCATGGACAGATCGAGAGGTATGTTATCATCTGCATTTCTACTTGCAGAATTATATCTTTGATCCCTGTCCTTCGGAGTATACGGTATAAAAGTAATACCTCAATATTGCCCATCAAATGACGACCGAAGAAGAGAGCTAGACATAATTGAACAATTTAGAAACAATACTAACGTCTACTGCCGCTTCCGTCATGAACTGTTTTGCACCTTCATCCCAAATGGCGGGAACAGTAAGTACCCAACGAATTAGGTCATCGGTAAAACTGTCCACTCGGGTGTTCAAAGTTTTTATCAGGTGATCTTTAAGGTACTTAATAGCCATCGTAAAGATAGCCATCGCAGGCATTTCCTTGTCATTTATATCCTTTATTGTGGTGGTTCGTCTGAGACTCTGCAAAATTATCCAAAATTTTATATTTCGTGTGAGTACTAATACAGTTTTATTAACCTCATGTCCTGTTTTTAAAATAAATTCCTTTCTTAAGGAGCACATGTACAATAAACCTTTTTTTTCATCAATGCAAATAATTTAACAAACTTTATTCTTATGGAGAGTCATCTTGAAGCGTTTGAAGTACATCCATCCTTCATGTTCATCGTCTTCTGCTAGCGTTGCGTATTTGTTTTCTGCTTCGTATCCAAAAGAATGGAAGGTCTTGTCCGGTTTCAGCAGAACCACTGACGGTGTCTTTAGAGAAACTAATGCTTGATTTCCAGCTATCCAGTTACAGGCACTGATTTTGAGAGGGTCTTTCTCAAACTCGTGACGAAATGAAAATGCATACCCAGAGAAGGTTGTACCAAAATCAATGGCTGCGACCAGAACTGGTGCCGTGAAACTCATATTGCTTCGTTAAAATAAAAGAAAATTAAATTATTTGACTTTGACTATCTGAATTTTAAATGAATATATGTTTGTCATTCTATGATTCATTTATGGAAGAGTTGCTCCTTTAGAAATCTATACACTCAGATGGCATTCTTTGCAGTGTTAACTGACTGATAAATGACACGTGTTTCCATAAAAAAAAAATGAAGACAGAATACTGTATACAGGGAAATTTTCGTTCCCGTATTATTATCCCCTGGCGCAACTAGTTGCGGAGGGGATATAGCGATGCGCGGATGTAGAGGGGGGTCGGGGGGGGGGGGTCAGGACCCCCCCTCCCCCTGGAATTTACACGTTTAAAAAATGTATATACTATAGCAAGAAAAAAGTTACCTTGGACCCCCCTTGGAAAACGCTGACCCCCCTGGTGAACATGAATATGTCTTAATTTGGAATGAAAAGTGAAAGATTTAAGGAATAGAAGTCAAAGACTACCCCCCTCCCCCTTGTTTTCGCCTCTTTCGCTTTATCCTGGTTGGGCAAATTTAAAACGGTGCGAATCGAAGAATATAGCATTATTTCTTAAATAGAAGTGTGACTTGGCGAATTTAAAACGGGGCAAAATTGTTTGCAAGATTGAAAGGGCGAAAATAAAGCGGGGCGAAAATAACCCTGTATACAGCATACTATTCCGCTATTAACAATAAAAAATAATTAGAAATAATTATTATTTCAGGAATCACTGTCTATAGTTTGTTTGGTATGCCAGGGCATCAACGACAGTTGTAAACGTAGGATAATGTGCATAGTGAGCAAATTTGTACATTCTTCCTTATTTTGCAAATGATTTGTCATGTTTTAATCTCAATACTTTCTATGTTAATTTTAAACTCGCCCGGGAGTTAGGGACATATTTTTTCGACCAGCTCCCCGGATTCCTTCAGTTCACAATAAAGACGAAGTGAGATAAGAAAATTTCCTGTTCTGTAAATAGGATTCTATAATCTACTTTCGATTTAATGAAAAAGTTAATATAGGCAAATTTTCGATTAATTATATTTAGTTAATGTTGTAAACTATTTCTCTATGACGTGTAAGAAGTAAATAAAATATTTATATACATTATACATTACTTACTGATTCCTTCAAATACGTTTTAAAGTACAGTGACTGGGGAAAAGACTGTGTAAACAACCGTCACAATTTGTTTACAAACATTAACGCATTTATCTAAAATCTAGTTTCGTTTTGTATTCACTTCTCTCTCTCTCTCTCTTTCTCTCTGAGGTCCCTAATGTACATATATAAATAATTGTTAATTCATTACATTTTAGAATACAAAAACCATTACACAAATGAAATACAGATATGGGTGTATCAATTTAAAAAATCTTAGCTACAATAAACCATGCACTTGTCATTTTCTTTCTTTTTTCTCCTCTTTAATATAAATTGATAATTTACAATCTATGACATCGATCTACACTCCTTACGACAAGTAGAATTTTCCCCATAATTACTCACTCTAAAGTCAAGTATTAGATTTAATACATTTTCGGCCAGGTTCATACTGTAAGTTGAAATTTTCTCCTGAAATAAAATGATATAAATATGCCAAGAATGTTTGACTTTTAGTTTTTATTATAACATTTGAAAAAAGAATGTACAAATAAAAAATATACCGTCCCATTTTCCATGAAACTGCTAAAGCATTAAACATTTTAAATATGACTTTACAAGAAATCTGCAATGGGTGTTACTAATTAAATTTTACAACAAAAGAGTTGTCAATCTTACTAAGGAATCAAGAGCAGTTCCAAATCATATTGCGCCACTTCTTACCAAAACACCTATGATATTTATGGTCACAACATTTTATGCTGATGGTTATTTTTGTGGCAAAGATTGATTGATTGTATATTGTATAACGTCCCTCTTGAGAATTTTTCACTCATAAGAAGACGCTATGGAGCAAAGGAAATAGACTATAAATGCACCATAAATACGACCTTTTCATGTCAGTGGTAATTTCAAGTCATCGTTATTTCAAAATAATATGGGACATTTATTACTCCTTTATGAAAATTGTTCTTTTGGCAAACTTATGCCCTTATATTATTCATGGAAAATTAAAGATGACAGATCCTTTCTATATCTAAAAATTATAAGTGTTACGTATACTGTCTTTGACGTTACGTACTTCTTAATGTAACACCCTTTCTCCCCCCACCTCGATGCAAATAAAGTCGGGAATGGCCTAATTGTACGTATGTAAAATAAAATTGATTTTTCTCAAATTTTTACAAAAATTAGAAGTAATCAAATGTAAATTCGATACCCCTACCCAGTTTGTCCTTTCTTGACATCAACTTTAATAAAAAAATTACAAATTGCTTAGTAGTAGAAATGCTTTGTATCATTAACGTTAAAAAGATGTGAATCCTCAATACCCGACAAAATGATTTTTTTCACTGAACCCCTGTGAAATTTGATTGTAACTCGGGTAATTTAAGGACCACCTCATCTTGTTTGATAAGTATTTAACGTTTTCTTCATAAATATAAAGACATTAAAATTCAGGAACAACAAGAGACTACAATACATGTACAATATCAAATGTATACGCTTTCAAAGACATGTTTAATTTGATTTAATATATAGGAACAACAAGAGGACCACGGGCCTTATAGGTCACCTGAGTATCATTTAATAACTTGATCAGAGTTACGAAGAGAAAATGCACTTCCACTTTATAACCAGTTGTGCACTCCATCCGCAGGAACCCCTGACCCTGGGGCCACATATTTCAGAATTTTGGAAATTTTATCATAAATTTGATTTCATCATAAATGATTAATACCAAAGAGAAGATTTCAAAGCATTAATTTATTTTCAGAATATGGTATCCCCCAACTCCCGATACCCCTGACCCAAGGGGTATGAAATTAACCATTTTGCTAGATGCACCTTTCTTCGTCATAAATATATAAACTTACATCATTGGCATAATACCTAGGTGCAAACAAAAAAAAAATTGAAAGAATTAATATATTTTCACTATACATGTATAATCAAAAAATCCCCCCTTTATACCAAATGGCAAAACCCCTGACCCAGTGGCCATAAAATTCACAAAGGGCTAAAGCCACGAAGTACAAAAATATGCCCTGTTTCCAAAATGAATAAAATTTTATTCTGTGATAGGTTAGACTTTGTGGGTTATAACATAATTTATTTTTTATTGATATCTTTTCCAGTTCTCTTTTTATAGTCGTTTGCAATTGGTATTGTTTTCAAGTAAAATCTACATTGTACATGTATAACGTCATGACTTTTGACGTTATTTATACACATGTATATTGTAAGGTATGACGTTTACGTTATTTAAATGAAGGTAATTATATCTACATTATTGGAAGGACCCGCTAAAATAAACCCTACCTAAGAATTTGGGAAATTTTATCATAGGACTGTTAAGAAGTTTTGAATCATGAGATAAATACATGTAGCTAGCTAGTTTTTGCTTTGATTAAAAAGTGTCTAAATACTGTTATATATTGTCCTGTTAAATCAAAAGCAACTTTTTAAAATGATACATCAAGAGAAATTAGGGGGAAATTATTTACGGTGTAAATATTAGCTGTATCCCAATATTGATTAATCCGTAAAGTCACGAAAAAATGAATATTAAGTGTTCAATCTTTTTTTTTTGGGGGGGGGGGGGGGGGGGTGAAATTATAGTAAAGGCAACAGAAGGTTGTTTTATTAAGCGGTTGCTACTTGTGTGATCATTCAAAACATAAGGGCCGTGTGTAATTAACATTACCATGTGTATATGTATATACATGTATTTTTTGTCTATCATGCGTAATTGTATGGACATTTTGTTTAAAATTATCCCTCGAACTTGCTGTACATATGGAAGGATATAATTTTGCCGACGAACCTTCACACGATTTTTATCGTCAAGTGTAATCCCTTGGGTAGAAGCTCTAGGGTAGTGTACATTGCTATGCATACTGGAAATTCATTCGAGATTCATAGTCAAAGACGTTTGACGGCACTTGTTTTGATAAACTGTAAATTAATTACCAAATCTGTAACCGCTTTATTTAAACCTCTTTAAACGCCAACAGATGAACAGGCGCGGATCCAGAATTTTTTTCCAGTCAAAAAAATATACAACTCAGAAATTTCTTCTCATGCAAAAAAAAAGCAAACAAACAAAACAAATCAACAACAACCCCCCTCCCCCAATAAACAAAATAAACCCAAATAAACTCCTTTCCCATGTTTCGGATTGTTTCCCCCATCGTCTCAAGACACGGTCTGGAGTCCGCATACAGCTCTTTCTTCCAGAATGGGAGAGTATGGGCATTTTGGTCGTGGTTTGCGACGATGATAGTGTTTTCCCATACATATAAAACCATAACTTTTTATACAAACTCAACACAGATTCCAGGGTTTCAGTGTCATCTAGGAGGGATCCAAGGTCACTTTTACTTAGTTTAGTATAGGTATTTAAAATTCTGCAAATCCCAGTCTCTTCATTTAGATACGCGCATGGATGAATACCGGGTATACAGACAAAGGAGGTAACGTTTATAATTTACCAATTCAACGAATTCCTATCAAATCGCTATCATCTCGGAGATAGAGAGAAAAATGTGAAAATTACACATCCTAAATACCAAGGTAGCATATTTTAAAATTATGATCTTTCAAGGCAACGAAATTATACATGCACGAGATAATTCTGATATTCTTGGACACCCCATGTATGAAATAACTGCTGTCATTTTATATAATGTTTGATACCCATTTTGAGCGGAAACTGGAATATATGTAATTCCGTTCAAGTGTAGATCAAGGCCAGTTATATGTTATGCAGTTAAAGATCTATGTTATATTTTTTTTAACAATAAAGAAGATTAAAGATCACCCCAGCTGTTGTGATATGTTGTGAGAAAATAAATTACCCTACCTTTTGATCATAATAATCAAGTAATGCAAGTATTTATGAATGAAAACACTCACCCCCCCCCCCCCCCCCAAAAAAAAACACTATTGAATAGATTTATTTAACTTCGTCAGTTTTTCACTTGTAAAAATATTTTTTTTTTTTGATTGTGTATGTAGGTATAAATTCTCTAGATTTGCCCTTGCATCTACCTCCAACTAACTAACGACCTGTAGCACAGATTACTTATGAAATATTTGGAAAACCTAAGTAAACCTAGGTAAATATTTAAAGCAAAGGGGGCGTTGCAAAAATATTTTATGAATACTGAATTCTAAGACACAACAATACGCTGACATATTTCTGTATTTTATATTTTTACCACATGGAATTATAATTGTTTGAAATATATATTGATGAAAATATCAGTATACATATGTACATACATCGATACCCTCCGTGCGAAGCTAAGCACGGCATCATTAATAAGATTTTGCTTTTGAAGCAGGATGAAAATTTACTTTTCTACACCTGCATAAAATTATTTCAGAAGATTTTGTTTAAAAGTAAAATAGATCGATGGCTGATATACGTATGTAAATTGCGGCTATAATATGTAACAGTGCTGACTCTACCTCTCGTAATATTATAAGGAACTTGAAATTGACATATACTCATCAAAGTTCAAAACTTTGTTTCGTGGAATTCAGGGACGTAGCATCCGGGGGGGCCAGGGGGGGGCCTGACCCCCCCCCCCCACTTTTTTCCCCAACATAACCTTTACTATAGTAAATGTTCATTGATAGGATGGTTGGCCCCCCACTTTATTACCATAGTATAGTGATAGCAAGGAAAAAATTGGAAGTGATAGTAAGTTGGCTTTGAAAAAGTTGGCGACTAAACACCCCCCCCCCCCCCCCCCGGGCAACTTTTTAATATCGTTTTTTTTTTTTTTTTTTTTTTTTGCTTGTCAACTTTCTCAGGTAAGTAAAAAAAAAAATTCTCAGGTTGGCCCCCCCACTTTCAAAAACGATGCTACGTGCCTGGAATTGCAAACAATTTAAATATCTAAATCCTTCAATTTCGTACATTATTTCTTTTTTTTATTAATATTTTAGAAGCAAGGTAACACAATATTATTTTGCTTAATCAGACGTGATCATGATATTCCCTGTTTATACAGTGATGTGGATCCAGAAAGGGGGGGGGTTCCATTCTTTGAATTTGCTAAAAAGAGTCCCAAATTTTTGTTGTGCTCATGTAGTAA